TAGAAGGATTGTTTCACGGTGTACAGGTCAGCAACAGATAAAACAGGTCGGGGTATAACAGAAGACGCGTCAGCGAGACAGGTCAGCAAAACATGCACATATCTTCGAATCTGTAATATCTGAACTGAAAGCTGGCTTATTCACGTGTCTTAATTACATAATTTAGCGTCAATCAAAATCAATCAGGAAATCAAGTTAATAATTCATTGTATTGACGAAACAATCATCATCATCATCATTATCATTATCATAAATATTATTATTATTTTCATTTGACATAATTAAATGTTTCCCATAGAGTTGTTTAGTTTACTTGTATAAGCAATTTAATTTAAGAGCTGAAAATAATGCCTTTGTAGGGTTATTGGGCGCCCATCTATGGCGGCTGCTCCATCACCATTCGCGTCCTCCAAAGAGACGACTAATTATGCCAGGCTGTGTCGTCTGTTGGTGGACTTAGGATCCAAGGCGCTGAGAGACACATTTGATAAAGTACATCCTCCATCGACTCTCCATGGAGTGTTATCAAGACATAAACCTACACTGCATGCACTTTATACTGGTTCTGTTGGAAAGAAGAAAGTGAAGAAAGTGCTTAATCCTACACAATGGGGAAAGCTGTATCCTGTTCATTCACCTGTGACATCAGCAAGCTTTGATATCACACTTCTAACGGTGCTGCTTAGAAATATTTGTGGTTTCGGTGCTCCAACCAAAGGTTGGGATAACCTTCCCCCATCAACAGACACAAGTACCGCAGATGACATCGCCCGAGTGAAGTATTACAGGAACACTGTGTACGGCCATGCCAATCAAGCCTCTGTTGATGATGCAAGTTTCAATGCTTACTGGCAGGAAATCCGTGAAGCCCTGGTAAGATTGGGAGGAACAAGCTTTAGAGGATACATCGACAATCTTGAGCAGGATACCATGGATCCTGATATGGAGGAACATTTTCGTGAACTCATGAAACAATGGAAGAAAGATGATGACAGCATCAAGGAGAAACTTGAAGAGATAGAAGGTAATATGAACTTTATTTTCATACTTTTAGACAGGTACTAAGAATTCTCTTCCGCGGTTTAGGGGTAATTGAATCTAAATGACGCAAGTTCCTTTGTAGTTAAGGCCAGAAGTGTATAAAGCTAGAAGTCCATATCTCTTACGACGATTTGCGAGATCACCTTTAAGAGTATGCTATTTTTAGATGAATAAACTTCGTGGGAAAATAAGAATTTTTGGAAGGATATTGCGTGGACTGCGCCAATTCGAAGAAAGATGAAACAATAGTTATTAACAACGAAATACAAATCAGCTGTGACGCTTTTTGAACTTTCCTTTTCCCCTTTATTGACACAATTCACAAATTACTTACGGCAACGAAGATGATGTGGGGTTCAATGGCTAAATTGAAACAAAACGGCAACAAAGACGATTTGGGTTTCACGTTCGTCACTGTCAATGGTTAAGTTGAAACAAAACGGCTACTTCGCTATCGTAAGACAGTAAGACGTTCTGTTCTTAGTTTCTGTTATCTATTGTAGTCCACTCGAGGCAAGCCGAAAGAAGCATAGATTTCGTAGTCTATATTGTTAAATAAAAGCCCTCATTTTCAACCCCTAGTTGCTGCTTTCTAAAGTTTATTGGTAAGAGAATTATTTCGGCTCAATGCATCTATTTGTCATTATTTGCGCAGATAATGTCTAAACCCTGTAAACAAAAATAAATTTTATTCTTCAGAAAGCTTCAGGGACGAATTAGAGCAGATGAAAAGTGAAATAGAAAGCGATATCAGGGGTGAAATGAAAGAAATGAAGGAAAGACTGGACACCTTGACTGCCTCATTGGAAGAGAACAAAGATGAAGGTCAGTTAGTGTGAAGAAGAGACTTACAAAGATATAACCATTAGTTTACAATTCTCCCAGAGAGGTTACGCTTTCAGTTGGATATGTCTGCAACCTGCTCTCTAATCTGGCGAGCTTAAACATTATTTTGACCGAGCGTCTTGTGGAACGAATTTTTCTGTGTAGCGATATTTCAAGGTCGTCAACCTGTCGTCCCTTCATATCGTTCAGTGCCACAAAAACACGACAGTAGGTTAAATAAAATGGCTACTTGGTTATCCTAAGACATGTACANGTTGGGAGTGGATGATCCTTGTTTAAGATAAAATCTGGTAATGTTAGTTTTAATTAAAACAGGACCAGCGGCATAACTGTTGTCATGGCAACGGCACGGCGGGTGTCAGTTTGTTTCTTTTGTGATGTACATTTCTGGTGCCAAGTTTAAAGGACACTGCTTTAATATTTCTAGAGATATTCTCGATTGAGTGTTGAACTGTTTTAGTGGAACCACCAATGACGTTATCACTTATAATACAAAAACGTGAATATCTCTAAAACGAAAAAAGATTATGCAAAAAGGAAAACGCCATTCTTCTTTACTTTCAAAAGCCTTTCAAATTAGCAGCAATTATTTTTTACTTCATAGGCACTTTAAGATAAAAGAAGCTATTCATATTCAGTGGGACAAACCTACACTAAATCATCAACTTTATCATGTTAATTTAAAACTTTCTCTGTAATATTTTACATTGTCATGTTTCCTTTAGTTCTTATATTAAATTAGCATTTTGCGCACACTATCTATTCAACTCTGTACTTTGTAATTTAAACTGAAGATGACAGAAGATTCTGTTGAAACATGTACTTAAAAAACGTTGTGTTGTTTCTTAAAATTTCAACATGTCTACTACTATCCAGACCTTTTTACATACAATTATAATTCACGTTATGGAAGTAATTGATGGAGGACGTTCCTTCGTATACTGTAATCAGAAGTCTATAATGCTAGAAGGCTTTGTCTGAGTTGAAAAAAAAAATGGCTACTTAACTATCCTAAGGCAGTAAGACTTAGTTTCTATCGACTTGAGTCTAGCCGAAAGCAGCATAGAATTCGCAGTCCAGCTATAGTGTTAATTAGTGTTGAATAAAAGCCCTCATCTTCTTCCATAGTTACTCTGTAAAGTTTCTCGGTTAAAAAGTACATTTCGGCTCAATGGATCAGATACCACACTTGGCCTGCAACTCTCTTACTATTACTATCAATGTTGAACCTACTTCTCATTCGAACCTTTGCGGAGGCGATGTCCAAATAACATGAAAAAAATTAATCTTCAGAATCCATCAGAGACCAATTAGAGCAGATGACAGGCCAAATGAAGGAAATGAAGGAAATGAAGGAAATGAAGGAAAGGCTGGACACCTTGATGACCTCATTAGAGGAGATCAAAGATGAAGGTCAGTAGTAGGAGAGGCCCACAAAGATAAACACAAGTTAACAATAAGTGGTACGGACGGTGCTCATAACTCAAGGAACTATATGTTCACTTCAGACCCATAAAATATGCTGCACTTTGCTTGTTTCCCGTTTAATTTGCAATTTAATTGCTTAGAGCAAAGCGATCATATTTATACAGCACTCATTTAGTATAGACATCGTATGTTCTGTTGCAGATCCTTGAGTATGATTGGCTTACTCGTCGGTCACTATCATTTTCTGCGAGATCGCTATCGCTAAATCATATACCGTAGGGTTCTCGGTGTTCAGCATTCTGTCAAGACTACTTCAGCTCTGTTCTCCCTGATAATGATGACGAATAATATTTTGTGCAGTCTTGTGTTGTCACTGTCTTGGTTCTAGAGATTTTCTAGTTTTATATTGGGGGTTGTCCAATACTCACCACTTCAAGTCATGAAGTTTGTGATTCAAATGGTTCAAGTGGTACTAGTTGTTTAAAGAGGTTTACCATTTTTACGAGTGATTTAAGGGGTGAATGTGATACTCAGTTTCAGTTAAAATAAGGTAGTGCTCATCTCTTGTCAACTCTTGCGACCCATACAAGTCGTACCACTGGGGAGATTATGGACACTTAGTCGTACCACTTGCAACACTTGCAACTGAATCTTAACCATCGCATCTTAAAGTGCCTATGAAGTAAAAAATAATTCCTGCTTATTTGAAAGGCTTTTCAAAGTAAAAAAGAATGGCGTTTTCCTTTTTGGAATATTTTTTTTCGTTTTGGAGATATTCACGTTTTTGTATTATGCAAATGAGAAAGTGATGACGTCGTAGGTGGTTCCTCTAAAACAGCACAACACTCAATCGAGAATAACTCTAGAAATATTAAAGCAGTGTTCTTTAAACTTGGCACCAGAAAAGTGCATCACAAAAGATACAGAATGACACCTACTATGCTGTTGCCATGGCAACACTCTTGGCTCCAGTCTCTTTCTGTGAAAAACCAAATATTTCCACTTGCAACCTTTCAAAGTGGGACAGAGGGTCTCGCTCGGAACACACATGGTTCCCATATTGTCTCAACTCTCCCCATTAGATTGTTGGAAGTGGATGATCCTTGTTTAAGATGAAATCTGATAATTTTAGTCTTAATTGAAACAGAACCAGCGGCATAACTATTGTCATGGCAATGGCACGATGGGTGTCATTATGTTTCTTTTCTGATATACATTTCTGGTGCCAAGTTTAAAGAACACTGCTTTAATATTTCTAGAGTTGTTCTTGATTGAGTGCTATGCTGTTTTAGTGGAACCACCTATGACGTCATCACTTTCCTTACAAAAACGTAAATATCTCTCAAATGAAAAAAGATATTCCAAAAAGGAAAATGCCATTCTTCTTTACTTTGAAAAGCCTTTCAAATAAGCAGCAGTTATTTTTTACTTCATAGGCACTTTAAACAAGTGGTAGTATTGGACATGCGTGCTTATATTTCTCGATTAAATTTGGGTCGGGAAGATGTGAAAATGAGTTTCGCGGCAGAAGAACAAAGAAAAGAAAAGAGAGAGAACATCTGAGCCAAGATAAGGTTCTACCAAAGAAGACATTTGCAAGACTTTCTAACGGAAGCGAAAACCTTAGTTTCCATTGACAAGTCACCTTGACCTAAAGGGTGATAAACGTTTTTGATCCTCAGAACGAATTGTAGATGACCTCAACAAGATGAAAATTGAAATGGGAAGTATCAGTGGTAAGCTGGAGGCTTTGACAGTATTAAGACAAGAAAAAAAGCATGAAGAAGGTAAGTTTCCAAAACTAACATAGTAACGTTTTATTGTGTTTTTTGTTTGTTTGTTTGTTTGTTTGTTTATTTGTTTTTTTTTTTTTGTCTAGTTAAAAAATAATTATGAATGCATGCCTGGCCTTTAGTAAGAAAGTCAATTCAGCTGGTATCCAATATCTGTGCTAATATTATAGTCAAGATTAAACGCAGAGCTTTCATTGGTCTGGTGTTATCAATGGTGTTACATGAAGTCCCCGTGTTTCTTTTCAGCTCAATGTATCAGATACTGCCTTAGAGTTATCAGCTGTTTCTTATCACTTGCATAGACAATGTCTAATTGGGCTTAAACAAAGTAAATTTTATTCCTCAGAAAGCCTGATGGACAAATTAGAACAGATGCAAAGTGAAATGAAGGAAATGAAGGAAACGCTGGACATCAAAGATGAAGGTCAGTGGTAGGAGAGGTTTACAAAGATAAACACAAGTTTACAATATGTGGCGGGACCACGCAGGTCAAGGTCTATGTTCTTTTGAGAGCAAAGATCTAAAAGTGACTTAACCTCTCATCTTTTTGCAATTCACTCTTTTAGTGCGACGACACTTCTCATGTTCTGTTGCAAACGCTTGTCTGTGAATCTGGTTGGTTTGCTTATCAATCGCTATGATTTTCTCCAGACCGTTATTACATACACATATACCTTAGAATTTTCCATGTTTAGCATTGTTTTCCCTTTTTGTATTTCTTTATCAAATTTGAGTCGCGAATTGAGGCGAATGGAACCAGGGTGAAGCTTCACCAGATAGGAAAATTGCTCCCCGAGTCATGGTTGATTTTGAAGGGAAACTGCCGATTCAGTTGGTGACTGATACCTCGAGATGCCCGTGCTAATATCGTAGTTTAAAAGGATTTAACTCCTAATCTTTATGAAATGGCCTGAGGGAGGAGTAACTGTTGATCCTCAGGAAACCTGAAAGACGAGTTTGAGCACATGAAAGACGAAATAATGAACCTTGGGGAAAGGTTGGAACACGTGATCATGAGAATATCAAGCAAACAAAGCGAGGAAGAAGGTCAGTTATATAAAGATTTGACAGAAAGTAAAATTGTGCATTCTCTTAATTACTGCCATGACAGATAAGGATTCCTTCGAGAGACGTAAAACTCGAATAAGACGTTTTATACTGTACGTGCCCTTCAATTTGTTATCAAGAAGGCGCACCACTGGCCAAGACAAAAACAACATAACAACGTGCCTTTAGGGTCTCATTTTGAATAGAAACAAGTACGTGAAAGCGAGCGACATTCTATAGCAACGTGGAACATGAAATATAGGCTCTATCACCATGCAACGGCTGTTCGAGAAAGGAGCCCGCGTCTCTTCTCGGGGAGGATTCGAGAGAGCGGCGGAAATCGAGCCTAAATAGCACATCAAGACCAAACAGCACTCAGACAGCTCTGCAAATTGGATGATGACCTCTGTTGATCTCCCCNGCACTCGAGAGAGCGGCGGAAATCGAGCCTAAATACAATGCATGCAATACTACAACAAATGGAAATACTCACAACAGAAGTCTCAGAGGCCTCAGACCAACGATAAAGCTGAACGATGTTACCATGCGATACAAATAGGACCAAATTTTCCTAGAGGATCTACGTGTCATGTTCTACATATGTTCTGGCCCACACGGTTATTGACCGCGTTGATGATATAGACCACTTATATTTAATCTTATTAGCCAGTGAGGTGAAAGGTACTGAAGCCTAATCCAAACAAAAACGTTGAATAGGATTCTGATTTACGTCCTTCGCCAGGGTAACAACCTCTTTGATATTATTTTGCTTCTAGATCACTTTGATCCCTCTCAGCTTATTGACGGAATTCGCCAACTCTACCGAACGCGCGAGGGATGGCTGTCGCCATTTCCTTGGTGTGAAGAATTTCAGTTTCATCTTGATAATATTTATACGAGGCTTAAAGTGATCGGCAGGAAGAAACAAAGAGGAACAGCGACCGACGAAGTTGTCCGCATGTCGGCTATCTTTAAACCACACGAAGAATGTCTAGTACCAAGAACAATATTGATCGAGGGGAGGCCCGGTATGGGGAAGACAACGTACTGCAAAAAGCTTGTTTACGACTGGGCAACAGGAAAGACACTGGCGAGCGATTGTTTTCCAGAATTCGAGACCGTGTTGTTGATGAAATGTCGAGACATCAGGTCTGACATTTGGGAGGCAATTGATGATCAACTTTTGCCCCGAGATATCCAAGAAGACATCAAAAAGAAATTCTTCACGTTCATTCGCAACAGTCAGTCAAGAGTTTTGCTGGTACTAGATGGGCTGGATGAGTTACCCGCCAGTAAACTGCAAGAATTTTCAGAAATAATTGAGGGACGAGTACTTTCAAAATGTCACTTAGTCGCTACATCGCGTCAAGAGGCTGGAATAAAGGTAAGAAAATGCTGTGACACCCTACTAGAGATCGAGGGATTTACCGAAGAACAAGTAGAAAAGTTCATCTACAAGTACTTCAAAAACATGGAGGACTGCGCTCAAAAGCTCCTGTCCAAGCTAAGCAATGATAAAATCCTAAAAGAGATGACGGCAAATCCTTTAAACACTGCACTTCTTTGCCTTTTGTGTGAAGAATTTCATGGCATTTTTCCCGAAAGTAGAGCTCAACTGTACCTGGAAATAACAGAGTTGGTCCTAAGGAGATTCAGGAGAAAGAATGGATTACCAGAAACCAGTGAGAAACTGACCGAAGTATACAAAGCGCAACTACAACTCCTTGGCCGGATAGCTTTGAATGCTTTGCTCGAAGGCAACCTTGACTTTGAAGAACGCAAGCTTGGAAATTATGCTCATGAATTGTCTGGATTTGGATTCCTGTCACTGCAACCCGGAGCCAGCAAAATGAGACCGTGTCATCACTACGCTTTTCTACACAAAAGTTTTCAAGAATTTTTTGCTGGCTATTATCTTTGTTGTCAGCTTCTGAATCAAGAAATTACCCCTGAAAACGTGGTTTCTGAAGCGAATTATCTCAATGAGCTGAAACAGGTGCTTTTGTTTTCATGTGGTATTCTAGCAGTGCAAAGCGAAGAAACAGCATTGGATCTTGTCGCAAAAATAACAGCACAAGTCAACAAAGATGGCGTCAGTACTGTGCCTATTGCATTGGAGTGCATTGCCGAATGTCAGGGAGGAAAAAGTAACCTTCATGCAAATCTGGCTCGAGTTTTTGGCTCAGGTCTTAAACTTCAAAATGCTTCTATCAGAACTATACCTAGTGCTCATGCTGTTTCTCTTACTGAGGCAATTAAGGTCAACACAACACTGGTACAGTTGGAATTGCAAGACATTATCATGGAGGATGCTGGTGCTGCTTTCCTTGCTGAGGCAATTAAAGTCAACACAACACTAGCACAGTTAACTTTGAAGTGGAATGCTATTGGTGCTGCTGGTGCTGTTTTCCTAGCTGAGACAATTAGAGCCAACACAACACTGACACAGCTGTGTTTGTGGGAGGAGTACATTTATGCTGCTGGCGCTGCTTCCCTTGCTGAGGCAATTAAAGTCAACACCACACTGACACAGTTGGATCTGCGGGAGACTTCAATTGGTGATGCTGGTGCTGCTTCCCTTGCCGAGGCGCTTAGAGTCAACACAACACTAGCAAAGTTGGGTTTGTAGTGGAACAATATTGGTGCCGCTGGCGCTGCTTCCCTTGCTGAGGCAATTAAAGTCAACACAACGCTGGTGCAGCTGAGCTTGCAGTGGAATAAGATTGGTGATGCTGGTGCTGCTTCCCTTGCAGAGGCAATTAAAGTCAACAAATCACTGGTGCAGTTGAGCTTGCAGTGGAATAAGATTGGTGCTGCTGGCGCTGCTTCCCTTGATGAGGCAATGAAAGTCAACACAACACTGACACAGCTGGGCGTGTGGGAGAATGACACCGATGCTGCTCGCACTGCCTCCCTTTTGGAGGCATTAAACCTCACCACCATACCAACACAGGTGGGTTTGTGGGGGAATAACGCTGGTGCTGCTTGCGCTGACACAAATCTGTTTCCGTGGCAATTCAACATTGGTGATGCTGGCGCTACTTCCCTTGCTGAGGCAATTAAAGTTGACGCAACACTGACTGAGCTGCTTTTGTGCAAGAATAACATAGGTGATGCTGGTACTGCTTCCCTTGCTGAGGCAATTAAAGTCAATACAAGACTGACACAATTGGATTTGGAGGAGAATAACATTGGTGCTGCGGGCGCCGACTCTCTTGCACAAGCAATTCAAGTCAACACGACACTGAGACAGTTGGATTTGGGGTCAAATAACGCTGGTGTTTCTGGCACTACGTTCCTTGCTGAGGCAATTAAAGTCAACACCACACTGACACGGTTGGATTTATATCAGAATAACATTGGGGCTGTGGGCGCTGCTTCCCTTGCCGAGGGAATTATAGTCAACACAACGCTAACACGCCTGGGTTTATGCCAGAATAACATCGGAGATGCCGGTGCTACTTCTCTTGCTGAGGCAATTAAAGTCAACACAACACTAACACGGTTGGATTTATATCAGAATAACATTGGGGCTGTTGGCGCTGCTTCCCTTGCTGAGGCAATTAAAATCAATACAACACTGACACAGTTGGTTCTAGACCAGAATAACATTGGTGTTTCGGTTACTACATTTCTTGCTGAGGCAATTAAAGTCAACAAAACACTAACACAGTTGGATTTGTGGGGAAATAACTGCGGTGCTGCTGGCGCTGCTTTCCTCGCTGAGGGGATTAAAGTCAACACAACACTAATGCAGTTGAAACTGGCGTTCAATGTCATTGGTGATGCTGGAGCTACTTCCCTTGCCGAGGCAATTAAAGTCAACACGACACTAACTGAGTTGGATTTGCAGAAGAATAACATTGGTGATGCTGGTGCCGCTTCCCTTGCAGAGGCAATTAAAGTCAACACAACACTAACTGGGTTGGATTTGCAGAATAATAACAGTGGTGATGCTGGTGCTGCGTCCCTTGCGGAGGCAATTAAAGTCAACACAACACTAACTGAGTTGGATTTGCAGAAGAATAACATTGGTGATACTGGTGCTGTGTCTCTTGCCGAGGCAATTAAAGTCAACACATCACTGGTACAGTTGGACTTGGCATGGAATTATATTGGTGCTGCTGGCGAGGCTTCCCTTGCTGAAGCAGCAAAAGTCAACACAGCACTGAAACAGCTGGGTTTTTTTGAGAATTACGCTGGTACTGCTAGTGTTACTTCCCTTGCCGAGTCAATCAAAAGCAACACAACGCAGACTCAGCTGAATCTGGTAGGGAATAACATTGGTGATGTTGGCGCTACTTCTTTTGCCGAGGCAATTAAAGTCAACACAACACTAACACAGTTGACTTTGAAAGACACTAACATTGGTACTGCTGGCGCTGATTCCATCGCTGAGGCAATTAAAGTCAACACAACACTGACACAGCTTGGTCTATGGGAGAATTACATTGGTGATGCCGGCGCTGCTTCTGTTGCTGAGGCAGTTAAGGTCAACACAACATTGACAGAACTGCTTTTGTTGCAGGATACCATTGGTGATGCTGGCACTACTTCCCTTGCTGAGGCAATTAAAGTCAACACAACACTGACAGGGTTGACTTTACACCAAAATACCGTTAGTGATGCTGGTGCTGCTTCCCTTGCTGAAGCAATTAAGGTCAACACAACTCTTAAATGGCTGGACTTACACCAGAATAACATCGGTGCTGATGGCGCTATCTGCCTTGCTGAGGCAATTAAAGTCAACAGAGCACTGACACACCTGGGTTTGCGGCAAAATAACATTGGTGCTGATGGCGCTATCTGCCTTGCTGAGGCAATTAAAGTCAACAGAACACTGACACACCTGGGTTTGTCGCAAAATAGCATTGGTGATTCTGGCGCTATCTCCCTTGCTGAGGCAATTAAAGTCAACACAACACTGACACAGCTGGGTTTGTGCCGGAATTACATCAGTGCTGCTGGTGCTACTTTCCTTGCTGGGGCAATTACATTCAACACAACACTGATGGAGTTGGATGTGGGCTTCAATGGTTTTGGTGATACTGGCGCTACTTCCCTTGCTGAGGCAATTAAAGTCAACAAAACACTAACACAGTTGGGTTTGTGGCAGAATGACGTTGGTGATGCTGGTGCTGCTTCCCTTGCTGAGTCTATTAAAGTCAATACAACCCTGATACAGTTAGATTTGCAGGGAAATAGAATTGGTAGTACTGGCGCTACTTCCCTTGGTGAGGCGATTAAAGTCAACAAAACACTGACACAGTTGGGTTTGTGGCAGAATCATATTGGTGATGCTGGCGCTACGTGGCTTGCTGAGGCAATTGAAATTAACGCAACACTGACACAGTTAAATTTAGGGTAGAATGGCATTAGCGAGGCTGGTGCTACTTCCCTTGCTAAGGCAATTAAAGTCAACACGACACTGACAAGGCTGGACTTGGATTGGAATAACATTGGTAATATCGGGGCTGCATCCCTTGCTGAGGCAATTAAAGTCAACACAACACTGTCAAAATTGAATTTGGAATTCAATATCATTGAGAAAGCTGGTGCTGCTTGCCTTGCTGAGGCAATGAAAGTCAACACAACTCTGACACAGTTGAGTTTGAAATGACATTTCATTGATGGTAAATCTCATGTGACAAACAATTGAGGAAAGCGTTTATTTAGAAGTTTCCGGTACAACTATGTTTTTTAAAACGGAACTTACATTGGAATTGATGTATTCGTTTGGCACATTTTGCAGACACTTTAATCAAGTTATTGAGACAAATGTTTAGTTTGTAGGTGTTTTCACAGCTAGAAGTCAATTTTAGCAACTTTTCCCAAGGGGCATGATAGAGATGACACCTTGAAAGACAAGAAGTAGGATGGAATAAAGTGACAAAACTGATATTTTACCGGAGCTAATCCAGCTTATCTAACATCTAAGTGCCTAGCCAAGGATGTAGTGTGTCACAATTATGGTAACAAAGCACTACCAGAAGTGTTGCAAGAGTAAGGTAACAAAATCAGGAGAGCACAACAACTTTAAGTACATGGCTTGCAGACTCAACCAGTGGCCAATGATAGCCAGCCTCCAATAAAGCCATATCCAGCTACTACATGCCAATAGAACCACCCCAACGGTACCCAAATCGGCCAGCGTTCTTTCACCATATCCAGACATATCGTGCCAAGAGCATTAATGTAATTTTAATTAACTCAAGCAAACCCATCAAGGTACTTCGCTTAAGGACAACACAAGTGAAGGACCCATTTACCAGGTCTAGTGTGAGATCGACACAGGTGCGGGGTGCAACGTAAAGCCTTTAAAAATGAACAAAGCAAATCTTGGAGCGTGAACAATTACCATCCACACCAGCAATACGCGGCCACAGATGGCAACCTGCCAGGTGGCGGACACCCGAGGATGTCTTATCCAAGGTAGAAGAACAGCTCAACAAATTAAATTCGTTACATCGACTTCCGAGTGGCAACACCACCCGCTTTAACTAGTGTTCCACAAGTCCATTCGAGTGCGATTGCTTTACGTCTAAAGAAATAATGCAAGAATGATGCTGTTATCCTGAATTGAAAGAGACAATGTTTGCCTATTACAAATAGCGCGCGTTATCCGGCAGAATTTAAAGACGTGTTCGAAGGCATTGGAAAACAGCCGCCAAGAGGCAAATACCACTTTGAACTCAAACCTGATGCACAACCCGTACAAACAGCAACCCAGGACAATACCAGAAAAGAAGAACGGGACCTACAAAGATGGGCTAGACTATGAAGCTTAGGAATTATTGAACCAGTTGTGGGACACACGGACTGGATCAATAGCATCGCACCTGTTGCAAAACCAGATGGATCGATTCGACTTTGTCTAGATCCAAAAGAGAAGAGAAACCTGTACCAATATAAGATGATTGACGAAGTTAGTCAGTGTTGAACTCCGTGACTCAGTGTATTTCACAGTCGTTGACGCCAAGTCGGGCAATTGAACGGTGAAACATGACTCCGAGAGCTTACTTTTGACAACCTTCAATATCTCTTGGGGAAAATACAAGTGGCCCAGACTTCCCTTTGACCTGAAAGTCAGCTCAGACCTCTTCTACGAGAGACTAAATTCCTTCCTTCTAGGAGTACAAAGGAATCACCGGATGTGTTGATGACATCCAAGAGGTGTAGATTTAATGATCACGATGTAACCACGCTCAGGCTACTCGAGACAGCAAGGATGAATGGGATAAAGTTCAATTCGAAGAAACTACAATAGAAGAGCACCAACCGTGAATTCTATGGACACTCTCTGATGCTGCAAGATATCAAGATTGATGACAGAAAAGTAGAGGCCATACAGCAGATGAGTGCACCAAAAAGATACGAAAGGTCCTCTACGTTTCCAAGGCATGGTTAGCTATATCTGAAGCGCTATTCAGTCCAGCCGAGGATTAACTCTCCATGCCGCCCAAGCTACTACTAAAAGAAAAGAGAAATACTTCGGAATCCACCAATCAAGGTGCACGCGATCAAAGAAGAGTTACCAAGACTGAAAGGATTGGATGCAGTATTGCTACAAGAAGGTAGACCGGTGATCTACGTATCCGAAGACTCGCTCCTGCCGAGGCGCACTGTTCCGACGTTAGTAGTAGTATTCTCCACGGGGATCCAACGTTACATCTTCCGTGGTTGCCACTTCAAAAGCACCAAGTTGCAGAACAGAATTGTCGCGAGGAGGTAGCAATTATCGAGGATGGACTGGAATCCAAAGTCAATCGTCTAGTGATTCCCACATCGCAGAGAGCAGAATATCTGAGAGATCGTCACGCACGGCACCTGGAAGAGAAGAAAAATCTACTACAAGGAGCTCTTGAGATTGTGTTTTGGCCAGGAATCGTGACGTCATCAGAAATGCAGTGAAGGCACTTTACTTACCAGAAACAAAATCCAGTTCAACAGAAGGAACCTCTCCTGCGACATGACATACCAAGCATGTCACGGGTCAAGCTCTGAATCGACATAACTGAACATCGTTCTCACCACTACCCACTGGTTGCAGATTATTTCAGAAAATTTCCTGTTCGTTTAAGAACAGGAAAGGAACTTATCTATACAGTTGTCAGCTCACGAGATTGGTCTCCTCAGAATATGGGATTCCAGAAGTAGCACACACAGATGAAGGAACCCAATGTGTGTTTGAAGAGTTCAGAGTGTTTGCCGACCACGCCCATCCCGGCATAGCAGTCTCCAGGTTAGACCACTAGATAGACTGACAAAAGAACTGTATGGACTTCACCCATTGACTCCCAAGCGTGCATATACGCGCGCTAAGTGGTCATGCTCTTTGTACCACGTGTGTCGTCATCAATTTAAATGTCACCAGTAATTCTTGATAAGCAGATAGTAGAGCTAGGATAGATTTATCCGCACAACAGTCGATTTTGGATATCAACGGAATTCTGACGTAGCAAATTGAAAAACAATGTTATCTGTTTTGGTGCAAAGATGCGGTAAAATGGCCCATTGTAGCTATAATTGATCAAGCTCCCATTTCCCGGCTTTGCCCATAATTAACACCCAACTTGTTATGGCAGCAAGAAAGAATATGAAATGCAAAAGGTAGCAAGAGTAAATAGGCTGAGAAAAAAGGAAAGGAAAAGGGCAAGAAAAAAATTGGAACGGGCAATCGGAAAGAAAAAAGTCCAAATTTTGGGTCATGCATGCGCACATGCACCAAAGTAAAATTTTGTACATTTTTGTCCCTAATCTTTGGGAAATCTATCCTTTTGGTAGGCAAATAGCTTTTTCAGCAAAACTAAGGCCCATTTAGTGTCATGGCAGCCAAAAACTGATTTAATGGTTTAAAATGGCATTTTTGGGTGAAAATTTTAGGGGAAAAGGGTTCAAGTCTATTTTTTAAGCAAGCAAGGTCATTAGTGTGAGCTTGTACAGAGCATTCATTGTTTATGTGCCACCCACTAGGAATAATTTAGCTGCTCAGTTGAGTTTTAACCTCCGTTTGGTTTAATTCATGTCACTTGCTTTGGGTTCAGTTAAATAAATGCTGAAAGTCAAATAGCATGAGGGAAAGGCATATTGTGCAACATTTCAGGAGTATTTCTGCCTTCTTCAGGGTTGCCACACACCAGATTAAAAAGAATTCTCTGACTTTTCACTGACTGTAATGTGATTTTCACTGACTGTGTTGGATGTTTATTTTCGCCACGAATTAGCCAGACAAAATTGCTTTGTTGATATTTCTTTTTAATTGCATCTATATGGGAAAATCCTAATAAAACTTTTCAGCAACCTGAAAGTAAAATTCCGACTTCTCACTGAATTTCAACATTGATCTCAAAATTTCCTGACCTGCTACAAAATTCGCTGAGTTTTCCGCGACCATGGCAAGCCTTCCTCTTGCAATTGAAATATAAGATTTTTGAGTTTCAAATGGAAAGAGATAGCACCATAGAATACTCAACTGCCAAAGAAATGTACATCAAGGTCTTAAAGGCAATGAAGCGCTGCTTAATAAAGTTTAGAATGATCCTTACTAAAGTTTTTAATCAGTGACTGACTGACTGACAAACTGACCGCTTGCTTGCTAAACCATGGAAGCCTTCTAACTGATTCCTTGGGAGAAAAAAACAAGAATTGACTAACGCGTCATTTGATCATAATTGAAAAAACCTTTTGTAACATACAGTCTTCCAATGCAAATTCAGCTTGCTTAACCATGCTTGGGAGTCCATCTAATTGGTTCCATGTGAGAAGAAAACTACAAAAGTAAATATTTGCTAAAAGAATTGTCTTAATGGTCATTTGATCGTAATTGAAAGAACATTTTGTAACATACAGTCTTCTAATGCAAGTTCAGCAGTAGCTTGATAGCCCCTAAAGGGTTGTTATTCGGTACTTCTGATCTAGAATAGGTTATTGACATTTGAAGCATTTCATCGAATAGGATAATTCAAATGCACGAAAACTAATTTTCAGCAGCGATTTAAAATTAATCACAGAATTTTCTCAACTAAATTGTAACCATTGCTAAATGAAGACGAAATACCTAAAATTATAGTGATAGTAGCCCTGGGAGGAGAGACCTATATAAAAAGTACAGGAGTGCTTGCTGGAAATTTGAAAAAGAGCCCCTAGGCTAAGGGGTACTAAGATCCTGATTTGTGGGTGCAGCTTGAATTTTTTCCCCCCAAGAGGTACCAACTCTGAAGCAAAATCAAAAAGCAGTTGATTTTTAAATATCTCCAAACATTTTTTGACTCAATGCCATAAAAGTTACCACAAAAGCTCCCACTCTGGACCTTTTGAGGCTGAACACCTTAAGAGGTACTAAAACCACTTTTTTAACCCCTAAAAGGTACGACGAACACCCTGTCCTTTTCATATGGGAGTCCCCCATAGGGATAGCAGCTCGCTGTCAGAGCTATGGTTGGGTCATCTTTCCTTCAAACATCAAAAGCAATATCTCATTAATGAAAGCATAACCATTAAGTTCATTTACAGTAGGAGGATCACATGAGCTGTTTTAATTGTCCACAACCACAGAAAAATGAAATTTCTGGCATCTGAGTCAATAAAAATTAGCCGGAAATGGAATATGTCTGAAGCACGAGAGCAGCGGGGAAGTCACTCTATGCTGACACCCGTACCCATTTGGCTGACGTTATTTTCAAGATATGTCTTTCCACCTTTCCATGACCATGGAGGAGACATTATGTCATTAGAATTGTCAAGCTTTGTCCTGGCATATCCTTTATAGAAGCTAACAGACTTTCCCTTGGTGATTGACAAACCAATGGAAAGAATCCTTCTGTTATCCAAAGTAACATTGCAAAAGTGAAGGAGGGAGGGGNAATGGTTTGGAACTTAGTTAGTATAACAGAAAAATGAAGGTATTTCTTCAATTTGTCTCAACTACATGCAGTGTAATTCAGGGTTGTAGAACTTACGGGTTTGCTACATTGCCATACAGATTCTTAAGTTAAGCTTACGTTTCTTTGCAATAATTATCTTCTAACAACACTCATGGAAACACCCACACAGTGAGCCTGGCAATACCTGTGGCAAAAGCCTGGGTTATAGTCTACTACCTGTGGTGAAGAGCTACATTTGCTATGACCTGCTGGTCTTTGCTGCTACAGTTTTTTCAACATCGATTACATCTTTGTTATTTTATAACTTCTGATTTTTCTTGCTGGACAAGGAAATTCAACTGATAGTTTGTCCCTCAAGAAATCTTCACATGTCCTTGCTACCTGAGAGACCCCTGTCTCCTCTATACCAAGTAGAATGTTAATACACTTTTTTAATACCATGGTATAACACTGAAGAGAGGGTCCAGTTTTCAAGCTACTGGAATCAGCAAGAAAAACAAGTGGACAACTTCCTCCAAATGTTGAAGAAGATCCACAAGTATTTCTCCACAGCTTGTTCTGAAGTAAGATGAATTTGATATGACAAGAAACATCAGCAAATGCTTCAGGGAGAAGCTGTCACATAACCTAATGGGCGCAGGTGCATCTTGTTACCACGCTATGCAAAATTTCCCTTTGTTTTCGTTCCATTGTGTGCACGTTGGTGTTTTTCCTGCTATTTAAATTAATATGCATTAACGTCGTTGTAGATTTCGTTCTTTATTCTAGTTTACGCTCTCGCCGTTACAGTTTTTGTCATTTAAGAATCTGCTTGGCGTCGTATCATACGTTTTCCATTATGACTTTTAGAGTTTCACCAATGAGGTTTGTTCTAAGTTCTTTGGTTACCTGTATTTCATTTTTGTGCATTTTCTTAGCATTTTGTTGTGCCGTTTTTTTTTGCTAGAACTGTCACGCTGGGACAGGACCATTTATTCTCCCGTACAGCAAGTATCTTGTGGTGTACTTCTGTGAATAAAAGTGTAGTGTGCTCTGGTGAATTTTAGTGGCCACAGCATCTGCATTACTACTGGCATCAACAAAGTGAGTCTCATTTATTAGCTTTGCTACATGATGGCTGACAGCAGTTTGTTCATTTTGACTGAAAATATATTTCAGTAAAGCTGCCTCTGCCTTAGACCATGAAAGTCTCCAAATAACTCCAAGCCTTGGTACAACAAAGCCAGATCTCTTGATCTTGGTTTTGACAGAGAAGGCTGGATGTCCTTCGTCTATGAAGCTATCAAATATCCCCGACAGTAAAGGCCATCCTTTGCATTCTATAGCCAATGCTAAATCGACTGACACCTTTAAATGATCCTTCCAAACAAGATCTAATAAGAGTCTTGCATAACTCCAGTCAACCCCATCCGATAAAAGGCGAGACCAGTCGAGGTCAAAAGTTTTAGATTCGAAGACCAGGTAATCGATTTAAATGCCTCTCTTAACAACGAATAAAACTTCTGCTTAATCTTGCTACCGTCTAAACAGCGTAAAGTACTTTCATTTGAACATGCATGGCAAAGAAGATCCGCATTAACAGAAATTTCTTCTCAGAATTCTGACCACAAATGTAAGGCATCATCGTTGTGTGACGCAACTTTCACCAAAATACGACGCTTCGATTTGCCCATGTATATTATCTCACAAATTTCCGAGATTCTGGAGAGCCATACCATGAAATCGAATTCAACGCGTTGTCTAATTTTGGTTCCTTCGTAAAAGCTACCAGAACGTGTGAATTTACCAGCAAATCTGACGTCACTGGCAGCGACACTCTTAAGCAACGAAGAAACCGCTTCTTCCACAGCCGTTTGGATATCATTGATTTCCTTGTTATCAGGAAGCCTAGCGTACTTCTCATCCAAATACAAAACACACTCATCCAGCGCCATTTTGTGGATTGGAAAGTGTAAATTGTTCAAGGCGTTACTTTCACTTGGTCTCAGTCTCTTCCGGATGTACACTACGCGCAAGGACAGACGGGACAGCTTGTTCCTAGCACGAGGGCCGCCATCTTGTCTTTGCATTAGCAGAAGAACTAGCGTATTTTTAGGACATGGCTAGTGAAGACGCGAAGGACGATCTCACAGAGGTCAATCAAGAGAAGGAAGAGAGTACAGAAAACAATGACGCTGCGACGTCGGATGCTAAAGAAGAAAGTAGCGACGATAAAAAGACAGAGAAAGACGGAGAGGAAGATGAAAAAGAAGTCAAGTTGTATGTCGGCAATCTTCCCGATCAGTGCAGGCGAGCATCTCTGAAGGAGCTGTTTGACAAATATGGAAAAGTATCACAGTGTGACATCGTCAATAACTTTGCTTTTGTGGTAAGTCTTTCGGATATATTCTCTCACAATAGCAAGCTACAACTAGTCATTAATATTTGCAAGACACTATTTGTATGGGTTTGGAACAAAGCAATTTGCTTTGAGGAACGTTACATATCCCTGCGCTTAGTCAGTTTATTTTATTTACCCTTAAATGCAACTAAATAGATAAATGAGTAAATACAAAATAAACAAATAGTAGCATCGATTTTATTTGCTACATGTATTTATAAACAAAATATTGGAGGAGAAACTGCAACCAAAGGACTACATTGTCGGGAATGTAGGTTAGAGTAAACGGAGCAGGCTCTTTAACGGGGATGCTAGCTTTTCTGGCCTTTGTAGCTTAAAGAGTACTATACCGTACCACTAGTCTTTGTTTTCTGGTAAAATTACAGCTGGCTCAATAAGTATTAAAGCTTTCCCTCCAGTTTCAAACCTGGGTTTCAACACCTTTTAACACCAGTATGGTGTTCTTATGTTCTTATGTCAGGGCTCGAAATTAACTTTTTCGCTCGAGAGCCAGCTGGCGACTAACGGAAAAATTTTGGTCGCCAGATCATAAATTTTGGTCGCCAACTTATTTTATACATAACTTACACAAGACCACGATTTTATACGTTACTTCGCATGCAAGAAAAGTCACAACTGAAGAGTGAAAACAATTAGAAACAACAAGAGCAACACTTAGTTATAAGGCTAACGTTGCTCTCAGGTGATATGTCTCTGGTCCGAAGGTGATGGTTGTCTCCATAGTCTTTTTTAAATGAAGCGAAGCATAAAACGTTTTAAGTCCGTGGTTTTCATTGTGAGACAAACACGGGTCCTTGCGTATTTTCCCTTTGCTACTTCTTCGAAATGCCGTTCTTTATTTTCGACTTGCTTTCCTCCACGCCTTTTCGTTGCCGACAGTTTGGTGAAATCCACTTTCCCTACATAAACAACTGATGAAGGATTCAAAGTTTGGATTAACCTTTTGGCTGAATCTTAATACCCGCATNACGATCTTTCTGTAAACCTTATATATTCATTATGGCTGATGATGATGTTTGAAACATCGAAACATGTTCCGAAAACTGAAAAGCGTTGTTGTGTTTTTCAGAATATTTACAACACTTGTGCTATCAAGACCCTCTACTAATAAGGTTGTTTTACTGTAAACAGGAAGGGTTCAATTTTGTATGTGATGCAAATGATAGGTGGATTTTTAAGTTTTGACACTCTTAGTGAGATGAAAAATTGGTGGAGATAAAATTTGTCATTATTTTTGGTAGTATTGTACAAAATTTACTGTGTAAAGGGTTCTTCACCTAGTGGTGAAGAACCCTTACAAACCAGTTGAATTTTTCCCTCAGGTATACTGGAGCTTATGAAGGTTACCCAGCTCCTCGTGATGGATATGGAGGTCGCAGGTATGAATTTTTTTTACCTTTGAACTATGAGTGTCAATTCCCTTCAGGTGATTTCTCCTTTATCAACGATAAGATCAACAAATGCAACATCATTTGTTACGAGTTACATCTTCAGTTAAAGCTGCACTGGCAGCCTCTGTGTTGGTTTTATTGATGATACAGGGTACATCACCACTGGGAATTATTCAATTGTCCAAATTTCCCTTGTATTCAGTGTGAAAAGAATCGTAGTTACTGAATTAAACAAATCATTTGCCTTCAACGGGAATTTTTTGGAAATCTATTATTGCTCAAGCTGCAATTGAACAAACATCCGTAATGTATTTAGACTCTGTGATCCATTTTGTAGATTTTCCATTAGGTTTCTTTTTTTTCTTAGGTATTAAGCGTCTGGAATACCCGAGCCGTTGACGGACCGAGTAGCTTTCGTCGTGCGGTCGGTTTTGCAGTTCCTGTATGTCTTGCCGAACGTCTCATGGTGGATCGTGCGGTTGAAACTATCATTTTTACGTTAAATTTTGCAAATGACGTTATCGTGACTTTTTCTTGTAATGCAACTTTTTATGGACACATTTTTTTTCTTTTTAAGTTAATGTAAGGTTAAATCAAATTACTGGATCAGAACTGTAAAACTCATAAGTTAAGACTGTTTGATTGCTTTTAGGGATGAAATTGTTGGGAATTTTTGTTATGTGTTTTAGCTTTTTTGTATGATGGAGCACATGATAGAAGTTGTGAATCGTAGTTTGTAGTAGTTCATTATTTACCAACATGGCGTGTGCATATTATAGAATGGCAAACAAGAATTTTTTGGAGGAAATAAAACCTCGTTAAATGTCTCTAATTTTTAAGTCTCTTCACTGAAAGTGATCTTTTAGTAAACACTGTTTATCCCATTGTGGATACTCATGACGTGTACCATCTAGCAAAGAACTTGTAGACCGTGGACGCTGAAAGTTCCATTGCTGTTGAACTCCATATAGAATTATTCTGCAGTGTATTTGTGCGATGGATATCAGTTGTGCGTGGCGTTCCAGTAACCGTTGTGACAGAATTGCAAACGTTCTTCGCAGGCTGACCGGCACTTTTCATTTTCGTCGTTGATGTGTGAGTAATCGTCTTCTCGAAAGGAATCATTTTGTTAATAGATCGACGTGTTCTTCTCGTGATTCGTGCTCGGAATGTTCTAAGCTAAGGAGTATTTTCTCAACGTAATAAGTTTTTGCTCCTTGCCTTGTTAATCAGTTACGTTCGTAAAGGCTTGATAATTATTGTTGCTGCTGAGTAATGTGGCAACCTTTTTGTGGTGATTTAAGCATCAAAATATTTTCTTTTTAGGTAGTTTATTGGAAAACTGTTGACAGAGTGAGGAAATACTGTGCTATCCAGCCAGCACCAAGTGTGGCACTGATGTCCTGCTTTTGACATGGTTCAGGTTGGGTGTTATTTCTATTGTAAGTAGTGAAGCAAAAATACAAAATAATTGCGAGAAAAGGGATTTTTCCATCTTTCGTCATTTATGACAAGTAGGCTTTCAACATTGCTGATCCTAGCAGTGTTCAAGACCCATGTCTTATATGAACCCTGTAGTGACTGACCTAGCTTGCTATGAGTCTCTGTATACATTTAAGGTGGCTCCATAGGGTAATCATTTATGGCGTTGCGTGCGCAAGTGTTATGTTTTGAATGCCGGTTTTGCATTCATATTGACACCCAGTCCTCTCAAGCTAATTACATGTAATAAGCAATGATTAAATAGTGTTTTACTATCATCTCTGTTAAAAGTATTGGTTTTAGTCCTGAATTAGAAATGCCCAAACAAATGTTTTTTTTACTTTTTTATGGCTTTACTTGCGATTTTCTTGAATTTCCTTCGGTGAAATCTTCCAAAATTTTCACAGCATATCACTTCCTGCGGGACAAGAATTTTAAACACGAAAAAAGTAGGGTTTGTACGGGCAGGTTTTTCGATTTTTGCAGATTTACTTCTTTTACCACTGCAAAAAAAACTGGTCATGTAGATTTCCCTGAAAAACGAGCTCCAACTAAAGTAAAATATTTACTACCAATCTGCCAAGTTTTACGAAATTTCACTGAAGGAAACGCGAGAAAGTTCACTGTCAGTTTTGCTTGTTGTGCTCATGTTGACGTACTAAAATATCGAAAAACACTGACGTTTTCCTTCGAGCGCACGCAGATTACTTGCTTTCGTCCTCAGCGTGCATGCGATCGTAAAACTATAGGGAGCCACTTTAAGCTCAGACAGTTGAATTGATTATCGAGCGAGTGTCTAGGGGCTCGTAGTTCTGAATCCAGCCAGCTGGTCTCCTACCAGTTTGAGATGTAAAGGGTCTTTTTATAAATATTTCAAGAATGTGATGGGGCTGTTTAACACATTTTCAGTTGTAAACTCCATTTTTGGGTCGTCAGTTTTGTTTGTTACATATGCTGACTTAATAAACCTACTGATCTTTGTTTGTTTGTTGTTGTTTTTTTTACATTCTACAGGTGCTGCAGTTGTCATGATTTAGTCCCTTCTGTGATGGAGACTCAATACTGGCCGTAAATTGATATTGAAACAAAAAACATCCTCACAATATTCCACCCCTGCAATGTGAAAAGCATTTCAATTTATCGTATACCAGTTTACCAAAAATGCCAAGATCATTTGCACTTTACCGAATCTGTTGGTACAGCTAAGATAATACAGTCTGGAATGTCCTTGTGACCATCATCTTTAGTTCTCTCCCTGCTCCCCCAAAAAGTAAGCCCCTAACTACCACCATTGTGAAACTGTTGAAGCCACCTTTTGGAAATGCCAACTGGTCATTTCCTTTGTTTTTCACCTCGTTCAAGTGACTGCACAATGATTCTGATAATTCATGCACGTCAACGCTTCAGTAAAGTATACACCACTTGATCACATTTACTATGATATAACATTGCCTAATAATGTTTGTTGACAAGTATCTCAAATTAAATTTCAAGATGAATTGATTTACTGCTGGAGAAAGACTGTTACCCTGAGACTGAGCTAGAAAGCTTTACTCTAAAACCTCTGATAAGCGACCAGTCTCAGTGTTTGGTTGTTTTTGAGAGCTCAACCTTGTTAGCAACCAGCTCTATTTTGGAATTTCCAAGTTGCTTACTTGTGAGAGCCTCAACTGTATTTCACATTACCCAGAAATGTGTCAAGTGGATGCTGATACCCATACCATCTTATTCAAGCAGCTATGCAAAATAGTCCAGTGCAGATTAACGTACTGCACAATGTTTATATTCATGTCTCTTACAGTACTCATCCTGATTGTGCCCCCCCCCCCCCTGTACACCCACCCACACCCACACACACCCACACAAACGCTCCTTGAGGGAAAAGTAGCAAGATTATTAATTTTGCACCCAGTCATTTGTGTCCAATCGAGGCAAAATTTCACACGTCCGTTTACTTAGTGTAACCAATATAATTATGATTGTTTTAGGACTGAAGTTTTTTTTTTTTT